TAGTATCAACTTTTTCCAATTTCATATTTGGCCATACTCTCAGTCAATGATCTTGCCGCACCTGTGTCAATCTCCATGTTTAAGATCTTATTATTAATTTCAACCGAAATTAATTCTGGGGGTATGTGAGTATCGGGTTTCATATTAAACAAATCAAATTCATCTAAGCCGTCAACACGGTTGCCATTAGTAACTTCTACTTTCCCTATCAACTTTTTATTTTTACATATAGTTGCCAAATGCCCTACCTTGGAACAAATTTTACACTTATATGACTTATACTTACAGCTGGTAAATTCATGATTTTGCTTGCCGCAATGAAAACACAAACTTTTACTGTTATTTTGGTTCGCATCTTTCTGTGAATGTTGATGGTTGGAAGTTGGTCGATTGCTCTTTGATTGATGCTGCTGACGCCCTGCCGCTCCTCGCTCATTGACCGTCTTTGATTTTTGATATGATTGGTGTACTTTGTTAATCGGAAAGGAAACTTAGTTGGATTGTCTGATAAATGTTTCTCTTTTTTGTGCGATTTCAACCAGTTCAATAAGGGTTTTGTTTGGTTCTTCCTCGCACAGCCTGTCTAGTATTGGACCTTTTGACAAACCCGTAACAAATTTATCTTCAAGTGCCTCTATTAGATGATTTCCGAGATTGCAATTCATAGCTGCTTTCTTCACATGTACGTACCATTCATTAATATATTGGTTCCTATTTTGTTTTAACTCATACAATTTCGTACGCTCACGAAATACTGCAATTTAAGGAGAGAAATGTTTTTTTAAAGTATTACATACTTGTTCGTAATTCAGTGTATTCGGCAAAATTGGGTCACATAATTCTCGTAAAATTGTATACGTGCTTGCACCGATTACCGTAATTAGTACTGACACTTTGCGCTCTTCTTCGACTAAATTTGCAATAAAAAACTGATCGAGCCGTACGATGTACAAGTTTCAGTCTTCGCCGGTTTTGTATTCTGGCTGCAGTGCCAATGCTTCTCGACATGATTTGTGGATTGCTAGAGTTTCCTGATGCGGTAGAAATGTAGAATTACCTGAATTGCTTGCCTGCGACTCGTCGTTCGCCATGAAGGGAGACTGCAACCATGCGTAATTTTTAAAACATTACTTTTTTTTTTATCCGTTTGAATCTTCGTCACCACTGTAATGTATGACGCCATGTCAATACCGTGATATATTATAAACACAAGAAATATTCATTTTAATAAATCAGAACTTTATTTAAAATATAAATGAGATTCATGAAATATATTTCACAATACAATTCCTGAAGGGAGACATAACAATGGATAATTAATAATGACTAGCACAATTCTCAGAGTGCGCTTCTTATCAAAACAATACACCAAAGATGTTATATATCACAGATACGTTGCCTGCAGTATATAATAAATAATAATGATTATATTGGTAAGTAGTAACTGAAATAAAAAATATTTTTTATACACGTTTTATTCAGTGTTCTATAATTTTATTTTATATATATATATAATATATAGCCTGTAGGATAGGTAGTTATAGCTTTAATGAATTAATTTTTTCCTGGAATTTAGGTATTAAAAATGAAGAAACTAATAATGTAGATAATAATGCAATTGGTTGCTTTAAAGTTTTATTCTGAAACGTCTGAAACGAAAATTGAATTGGACAATCATAATGATATTTTAATTTATTTTTTATTCATTCCATTTAACTTATGTAACCATGTAGTTATAAATTTATAATGATTATTATTTTTAAATAATGACTCCTCAATTAAAAACTACAACTTCAAAAAACCACTAAACTAGAGTCAAAAAGTAGTTTGATTTAAAAAAAACTAAATATTTTATAATTGCTTGAAGAGAACTTAAAATAGGTACTATAATTAAATATTTATAAAGTAGTTATTTTAAAGTTATTTTAAATATATTTGAAAAAAGATCATTTTAAATAAAGATATTAAAACATTTTATGAGTAATTTATTAGGTCATTTTTAAAAAAGTATTTGTTTAATGACTAAAATAGTAACCAATTTATCAATGTCAATATTATTATTTCTATTCTATAAATTTTTTTTTTAATGTTCGCATGTGACTTGATGAAAAGTTAAATTAAAAAAATTAGAGTTTAAGACGGATAAAAGCAATTTTTAAAATTAACAATTTAAAATTAAACAAAACTAAATAAAAATATTGTATTTGTTTTTTTGTCAATGTGGTTAACCGTTATATGATCACAACTTAAGGCACATTTTTTTTAAAAAAAACTAAAGAAATAAAATTTAATTACAGATTGTTTTTTTTTTTTACCTAGGCACTGCAAATTGGAATAATGATTAAGCATAGTATTATATTATTTATTTAATAGATATTTTGTATAACAATCAACTACCCATATTGTTTTTTTTTTAAATAAGTAAAAACTGGGACATGAATATTTTTTGAACAAATCAAAATTATTTAAAATGTTATTCTAATACGTTTATAGATCATACTATCGTTCAAAATTACTTCAAGTCACTTGGAAGTTATAACGTAAAAAGCGTGATGCATTTACTAAAAAATCTATTTAATAGTTATGAAATTCTAAATTTACATGTACCTATTTTAAAAAGTAGTTGGGTAACAAATATAAATCAAGTTACGATGTATAATAGTTTGTATGCTTTATTTATTGGTTTATACTTATAAGCAAAATAGTTCGGTGTGAATAGAAAATGATAATATGAACATTCAGTTCAAATACCATGTACCTACCTATATAGTAAGGTTATTCTTTTTAGAGTTACACCATAAAAATAAATTTATTTCTAGAAAACTTAAGTTTGTGTAAAAATGATTGATTTCCTTATTTTTTTTCTCTGACATAAAAAACTACTGGAATTTATTCGTTTTAGACCTTTTAAAAATACTTAGATTTAATTTCCTATCAGATAATATACTGAAGTAGAAAATAGAAGCATTTTTTTATTTGAATCTTAGAATGGACCAGTTACATATTTATTAGATACCTTTTTGTTTTAGGTTTGAAGAAGTTCAATATAAGTAAAGAATCAATAGGCGTATACTTTAAAAACAAAAAATCAAGGCTGGACTAGTTAGCAGTTATAAATTATAACCAATATTTGTATAGTTTTAATTATTATACTAAAAATCATTGATTATAAAATAAATACTACCTACTAGTACTTTTAATCAATGGTACTACATTTTATAAAAAAGTCAACTGACAATCTAAATTTGAACAAATTAATTGTTAAATATATAGTACATAATGTAAAGAAAACGCAGACTATACATTAAAATAGTACCTTTGTACCTATCATCAATCACATTTTTGTAAAAACTCTATGAAAATAAATAATTCTCAAAACCATTTTTTTTATACTTATTTTAAGTTCAAATTTGGATGAAATCACTTATTAAAACCAAGAACTACAATACTAGTTAAATTTGTTGTAATTAAAATATATTATTTGTTGGTATTTTAAACTTTTAGAGTGGGTTTATTATTATATTTTATACATACAATAACCCACAAAGTTTGAAAATTTGCATGTACCTACTACTCGACCAAATAACGTTTTTTTTTGCTTATGAAAAGGTTATGTTATGTTAAATATATGTAATTTTATTTTATTAGAAACTACAAAACTATGATAATATAGGTAAGTATTTAATACATAAAAATAAGATAAAATTTGTAAAATTATTATTATTGATAGATTATATTTTAGAGTGCCATCTATGAGCTTTCAACACTAATGGTAAGTGTTCCATATGTTGAAGAAGGCTCTAGATACTTAATGTACAGCAGTGTTTCCTACTTAGTTGCTCTTTCAATAATTTTCATTTGTCAATATTATTATTATTAAAATGTATTTAAAATTTACCTACAGTTCAATTTTAAAAATACCCGACTTAATATAAATGTATGATACTAAGATTGCCAAAAGATTATTAGTTTTCTCTCTCAGACCCACTCTCAACATGGTTCAAATGCATTCCCATGAAATTGTTTTTTTGTGACTTTTGAGTGATCTTAGAGTAAAATCACATAGTATAACAATTATAGTGTGTAATATTTTTGAATTGGATGCAACATTTTTAAATTTTATTATTTTAGATGTAAAATTGCAAAAAAAATGTTCTACAATTCAAATCAAATTATTTTGGGACAATATTTAGACAAATCGATAAGTCCTGCACTTAAAAACATTATTATTTGTAATTTTTGTAACATCTAGGTGGTTTTACTTTAAAATAACTTGAAAACATGAATATTTATGTTGACCGAATGCAATAAATCTGTTACATATAGGCCAGTTAGGGAAAAGAAACTGTAAGCTTGCATCATCTGAATACATTTTATTCAATTTGGTTATGTTTTTTTCTTTTCAATTTATTAAAGCTTATTTTTATATATAGATATTATCATTCAACCAATAAACTTAACAAAATCGTTATGAGTTTTGATCACTATTTCTTTCAAACCTTATTGCCTACCAAATAGAGGTAATAATATAATATATTAAAATTTATGGTAATCACAAAGATTTTATTCTACTTAAGGCAATTAATTATTTCAATATTATTATTTAATATTATTAAGTATTGTGACATACATATAAGTTATGTACTCTTATAATACAGTAAAATTATATAAATTAAAAGGCACCTACACAAAAAAAAATATATATAATAATAATAATAATAATAACAATGATAAACAATTAATACTTAATAGTTTTGTTATACTTAAAAATAATAAACCAAAGTTTCAAACATAAATAATATTTTAAGTAACAATATATTGAGCACAACTGAATTGCAAAATCAAATTAAAATATTCATCTAAAACATAAAATATTGCGATAGTTTACAATATTAACAATTTTGTAAGCTATTATTTATGTGTAATTATAAAGTCGTTTAATTGGCAAGATAAAAACATGTCATAAGACGATAAATATAAAACATATCAACCTATATCTACTATTCCTACAATTTATTTACAACCTTATTTTTCCTGATACAATATCTGTGTATGCTTCAGTAGTCAATTCTTGGTAAATGCCCTTGCTGTTGCTGTAATACACTTGATCCTTAATCCGCCCAATATCGAATCCATCTCTTTGCAAGTCTAATTTTTTCAATTTATATGTACCTGAAAAAGCAATTCATATAAATGTGGTGTTTCTTTTTCGTCAATTGATCCTGGGCAAAATAATAAATTACCTGTCATTTCAACTTCACTGAGTTTTCTAATGAACAATGGTCGTGCATAGCTTGGCAGAGCTTTTTGTAATCCATCTGACAAAGTGGATATATCCAAAGTATTATCCTTGTCCACAATAGCAGCCATACCAGCACGGCCCTCAGAATTAGGCACCTGGATAAAAAATAATATGAAAACTACAAATTCATAATAATTAATTAGGATTTATCATGTAAATACCTCTACTCCATATACAACACAATCACGGTAACCGGCAATGTTGCTAACAACTCCTTCGACTTCAGCTGTGGAAACATTTTCACCTTTCCATCTGCAACATTATGATCAAATTAATTATTATATATATTTTAGATTCTGAGAGGAGCAATGAATGTATTGATTTTACAATGATGTGTGTTTTTTTTATTTATTTTTTTTATGTCTGTGATTACGGTTTCTTGTAGTAAAAATGCTTTGATTTTATTCAACAGCGACTTTTCTGTATAGGAAAGTGAATCTAGTTGGTGCACTCGGGAGGTCAAAATTTCAAATTACAATAGTTTTATAAAGCGACAGGAAATACAAACAAAAAATTTTAAAAAAACGGAAAATTTTATGCAAAAGCAGTTTTTGAAACAACTATTTTGGTTTTTAGTATAACTCTAAAAAAAATGACGTAGATAAATTAAATTTATGAATGTTAATATAAAAATTTTCTATACCCCACGAAATTTTCAAAATATTTTGACTCTTGTTGAATTATTTACAGGCATATGTTTAAACTAATGTCTGTAAAAAATGTTTCGTTATGTCAAAAAACTTCAAACTGTAGTACAGGGTTCTTCTTAATTTGTTGTTAGTGGACATTTTAAAAAAAAAGTTGAGCGTTTAATCCACAATAGTTTTTTAGGATCGTTTGAATTTTTGTCCAAACGTGCTTTCCCCCGGTGCGTAATTAATAATCATTGACAGAAATGCATCGTCCCAAACACCGTTCTCATCATCAAAAAATAGCTTACATATAGACATACCGAAAGTATGTGTTTACCTGAACGTATCTCCGGTTCTGTCTTTAAAGTACAGGTAACCCCATTCGTCAGCCACGAGCAAATCACCAGACAGGAAGGCAGCGTCCCCCTTATCGAACACGTCACGCACAATTTTTTTCTCAGATTCCTCGTTGTTGACGTAGCCCAAGAACTGTCTAGACGGGTTGGTCGAGATTATTTTTCCAACAATCACGCCCGGTTCACCTGAAAGAATTTCGCCGCCACCGACGATGATCGTACATTATATGAATACAGCAATTTGTTGGATAAAACACATCTCATTCGTATTTCAGTCATTTGTTGTGTTCTTAAATAACACAGACACAACTGTAGGAGAAAATCCAATTATTATTACGATAATGATTATAGGCGAATGTTTTGTCTTTAAATGTTAACCCTTTTCATAAATTTAACAACATGAATGAGCAAAAACTTTATAGATCTGAGTATCAAATTTCGAACAGATTTATTAATAGGGACAAGTATTTTATAATTAGATAAACGTAGATACATATTAATTGTCTACAAACATCCTATCTAAACGTTTAGGGCTTACCTACCTATATGACGATAAAAAAATAATCTGTTTAATATTCAACATTTAGATAAATATGTATCAACGTTTTCAAAAAAAATATTCTGTTCCAGATTATGCGTAATAAAAAAATGAGATGTCAATTAAAACAATTTTATGAAATGATCAACAAAAATATTATTTAGTATGAGGTGTTACTGTAGAGGGGTATAATAAGGGTCTATATACCCGGTTCAAAATTCAAACTTTGTGAAAACAAATTTCTGAAAAACATAACATTTGACCGAGACGAATAGTGGATTTTTTAACATTTGCATAATATTATGCATATATGTATAGTAAGCAGTTTAATGTTACGCAAAACATAAATTAAAATTAATGACTATACGAAAGCAGATGAGCTTGTCTACTTCCTCGAGCAGATGTTGACTCGTCCATACCTGGGTTACATCGGGTGCAAAGTCCATCAGCGTTTCGGATGGGTTCGCACGTCTCCGGGTTTACCCGTATAATCGATATCGGATATATGCTGGGTATCAGTCTGGATACGAAGCCAATGGCTCCGAACGTGTTATCCGTATTGGCTGTGGACAAAGAAAATAATACACATTATTATAATATATTTACATAAACACATATGCAACAATGGTGGCTGTGGTGCTGATGAGCGGGGAATATGGGAGAGGTCCGAAAAAACGGATCGAAACTACGAACGTGACTGGCTGAAAATTGTGCAGAACATGAAACAAAATATATGATAATGAACTAGATACTTAACCCACATAGAATCTAATAGCACAGCGCCATTCGTACTTGTAAATAACTTCGAAATCTTGTAAAATGAATATTTATCGATCTAATTTAAGTGAATACCTTAAAAAATTCAAATCACTACAGTTTCAGTTAAGATATCGAATAGTTTGTAAGTTTATAAGTTTTTAAGTATATGTAATAGGAGGGAAGTAAGCAGTGTACTGAGTATACTGTGGGTCTTAGGTATGCATACCTATAGGTGTTACCAGGTAACTGATAATTTAAATTTGTGTTTGAACATAATATAATATAATATTGTACTACAAAGTTGAATTATGAGCAACTAACTTCAGTAACGTTCTTGTGAGCACTTATATAGAGTACTAAGGGAAATTACATTAAATATTTAAAATCAAATTAAACTTCCGTTTTTACAACAAGAACATGACATGTTATACGTTGTATAACTTGAATCGTACAAACCTTGAGACGACTGTTTTAAAACCAAAATAATATTGATCATCGTGATAGTTATCGAACATAATATATGGAGTATGGACATCCCAATTATTTGACAACCGATGACACTTATTAAGTTTTTATTAATTTATTATATATGACATGGAATTTGAATAGATCATTTTAATGTAATTAAAATCAATTATAATTTTAGATTCTGAGCGAAGAGAGGAATGTATTGGTTAAACAATGATGTATGTGAGTAATGTGTATACGTGTTAACTATTTTATTCCATATTCGGAATTGAGATTTCTATTAGAAAATTTGTTTATAAAGGTACTTTTTTTTAATACTACTGAAGAAAAAATAATAAAAGATACTGATACAACTCCAATTTTCAACAAAATATATTTTATTTTCATGTTGTAGTTCAGAAAGGAATAACTGTAGAAATTGAAATTGGATCATCAAATATTTATATTAGGTATAGCATTTTCTAGACATAATACAACTCAAAAAAATATTTGGGTTATTTTTATAGATTTAATTTACCTATAGGTTTATAGTTCTCTATTAGACATAGGTATTTTAAAATGTTAACTCTTTTAGTATTTTTTCAATTGATGTCGCTACAATTTGTTTTTGTGATAAAAGCTTGAAAGTTGTAAATGTTTCTCATGAGTTGTTTATAGAGCAGTAAAAATATCAAAAAAAAAACTCTGACCTTTGAATTATGAAGTTTTGAAGTGTTAACAAAATTAGATATTCAAATAAAATATAATAATTTTAGATTTTTTTTGGCTGATTTTCAAAAAAAAAATCAATTGTAGAGACTTTCAAGACTCTTGTATAACTATTGTCTGTTACAATTATCTGTACCTACACAATGCAATTTTAAAAATATGTATACTTATTTTTAGCTACCTAATTAGCTTAAAAAAAAGTATACAACAAAATATTCAAATCATTCAACGATACAACGATTGTGACAAGTCACTCGTTATTTTCTTTTTAATAAAACATTTTTTTTGTGAAGCACTGTAAAAGTCTCGAGTCTTCGCAGAGTTCTTTTCCATGGAGGATAAAGATTATCAAACGAGCTTACCGATGTTTGCGTTTCCCTCCGTTGAACCATAGAACTCTGCGACCCGCGGTACGTTGAATCTGGACACGAATTCTTTCCATATCTGAGGTTTCAGGCCGTTTCCGAATATGATTCTCAACTTGTGGTTTGTATCGTCGGCTTTGGGCGGAGTGGCCAAAATGTAGCGACACATTTCACCGATGTACTGAGCCGCCTGCAGTGTATATGAACATCGTTAAAATAAGTGCAAATAGTGAAGCAACATTTGTAACTCAATAAATATCAACTAAAAAGTTTTTTTCACTACGCTCAAAATATATTTATTGTTTCACTACAATCCTATATTAAATGTCTGTTAAAATGTATTTTAATTTGTAAGGGTGATCGTCTAGACCCTTCCCCGGGCTCCCAGTGTGGTTAGAACTTAAGCATTACATATACCCGGCACCTTCAAGACTACCTTTTTTTTTTTTCCTGTTTTAACCGACGACGCCGCGGGATCTGCTTTCGCATTGCTTCCGCGGCGCCGCCTTCAAGACTACCTAACCACTATTCATAATACTCAACGGACAAACAAGAAATAAAAACTTATAAATATATTTACATAAATAAGCCCTAGTTTTTAGAAATCAGAAAACAGTTATTTTTGTTTCGAGATTAAGTAAACCAACAAAATAATACTATATGAACTATACAAATTGTTAGAGTAGGTAGGTAATAATTTTCAAAAGTCGTATTTCAAACATATATATTGATCAGAAAAAGTCATTGGCAGAGAAAATACGACACCTTAATACCTTATAGGTACCTAGAGTACAATATTGTATACACTCAACGCTTATACATAATGATATATTTATAAACAATGTTAAACGGTGACTTACGGTACAGTTGTACTTGGCAATGTCTTGGAAGTACCCGGAAGCGGAAAACTTCTTCCGTATGACCGTGGTACAGCCATAAAGAAGCGATTGGCCGATGCACATTATGCCGGCGGCGGTATGGTACAGCGGCATTGGGGTGTAGAACCGATCGCTGTACTTGAGGCCTACTTGATACGCATAAGCACCGGCGATGAAAATATATCTAAAACAACCAGTACAGAAACTTAAGAATTTGTATGAGAAGAATACCTGCTCATAATGAGGAATTAAAATTTCATGTAAAATTAAATTTTAGTACTTAGGTTAAAAATAAAAATAAAAACTGTAAACTATTTTATTTTTCATCTTCGGTGATTTTATAGGATGTCTACCTTTTCGGGAAGTTATACTTTTTCGATTTTATTTTATAGAAAACTACTAGAAAAATTAAACTAATGACCGGTTTAGAATACCATATAGTGTTTGATTTCCAATCGATCGAAGGAGGTACAGCATAGACCTCGTAGAGAAGTATGTTTCTACTGGAGAATACATAGATTCTACTGGAGTCAATACTAAAAATTAATATTGTACAACCAATTAACCACACAGAATCTAATTTTTTTAGAAAAGTTGTTTTTTAAATAAATAATGGTATAGGCAGTGCCGGATTAATAGTATATTAAACCATAACCACATTCACACTAAATTCATACACGCGCGGTCCCTTTCATCCCATTTAGAAATTAAGTTAAGTGTTGAATCAACATAATTATTTTAATGTCAATATATAGAATGTTAGGTACATTTCATTTTTATTTAAGGACTGAATTCTTCTCAGTATTCTTATAACAAACAGTATATATTATTATTATATTGATATTTTAGCTATGTGAGCAATGTGTATATAGCAAATTGTAGTTATTTAATTTATATGAACTACCTATGTAATGCATTTTTATGTATATTTTGTTATCTTCTTGAAGAATCAATAAATATAAATAAAAAGTAAAATAAAAATGACTATAATCATGAATTCAGTTTCGCGTGCTGCAAACTGAACTCGTTTTTTTTTTTCTAATAGGTGGGTGGTTGGCTGGTTGGGTGGATATATTAGATAGGTACTCGAAGTAGATAATGTTAGTTTAAGCTCAAATGTTTTCAAAAGCTCGATTCTTTAATAGCAACAACGTAATATAAGTATATGAAAGAGAGGTCGTTTTTATCAATAAATTGGTAGGCGGCTGGGTCAAATAATTGCTAGTCGTCTCGCAAATAATAAGTGCACGTCACCACTGAGTGAATTTACACAGACTCCGTCTGTGTCAGATTCAACGCGGATATGTCGACTTTCGTTACCTGACGTTGGTAATGATGGCTGCTTTCGGGTAACCGGTGGTACCGGACGTGTAAATGTACAGCAGTTTGTCGTTGTAGCCGGGTTTTTCTGGTGGGTTCGGTGCGGAAGGTGACGCTTTTTCAAGAAGGTGGTTCAAGTAGGTACCGTCGTTGGCGAGCGGTGAAGTGGCCGAAAATTTAAACAGTTTAATATCGTTGTCCAAATCATCTTTGATATCGTCGATGTCTGCAAAAAGTATTTGATTAGATTTATGTTATTTAGTATTTGAAAAAAAAAGACGTATCAAAAGATTCTCAGATGAGAACTTTATATATCACAGTCATTATAATAAATATTGTATAATATAATATAATTGTTAGGTCTTGGATTTATATACAGTATGAAATAGTAGAATATAGTAAAATACTCAAAAAATGTATTTATTTTCCAAAAAATCATTAAGTGAAAGAGAAGCTTCTTATATTTTAAAATGAATTGAATAAAGTTAATCAAACATTTTTTCCGTCTTACTTTATATAAATTTAAAACATTTTTACGTAAGTTTCGTCAAAGACAAAATCCGCGGTATTAAGAAATTAAATTTAGAAGTGCAAAATAACGTGGCATCTTGCTTTTTATTCTACTTTAAATATACTCAAAAAAAATACATTTTTGGTGTTTATAGTTGAAATATGCAAAACCGAATTTGCAAAAGGACGTAGAAAAAAAAATATACCAAATGCAAATAAATAAAAATCTAAAATATAATAACCAAGATATAATATAGTGCTAAGAGGGTAAAATAAAAAAAATCTCAACAACACGTACGCTTTGTAAATAAAACAGTTAAAAACCACTCTCTCTGTGTACCTTATTATGAGTTGCAATCAACATGTATATATCGTATATGTCATAAGAATTGTGGAATTACATCCGCAACCGTTTGTTTAGACATCAAAGAAAGTTATTAACTTGTATTGTTTGTAACGACTGTTTTACTTAGGTACTACGTTTACGTCGTGTCGTCGGAGCTGAAAGTGTCACAGAATGCAAAGGTTACTGTGATCTCTATTCTATTTCGAACGTTCCATGCGTGTAAACTTTAATAATTCGTAAATATTAATTCTATAGCGTTGTTGCAATCGATGGTATGTGTAGGTTCTTATATTAATTAGTACTTTTTATTTCTTAAATAGTTACCCATATTTATAAATTTAATTTACATATACATTTCTCATTTTTTAAATCCAAAATTTAAGCTGTGTAATGATTATATAACAAAATATTTAATCTCAAGTAAAAATACATGTAATTGAAAATAAAAACAATAATATAATATATATATACCTATAAAAATATACATAACAGAAAAATTAATAATATTTTCTGTAGCGTTGTAATTATCCTTTACACATATACATTTTCCGAAGACATAAAATAACAAAATAAAATATGTATTATTAAACTAAATGGTAAGTACAAGCACCTAATCAAACATATTGAGATGATAAAAGAAATTCAATTATGTAATCCGTATATTACTATTTTTATCAAACTGAAAATGTTTAATAAAAAAGCTTTGCAAGACTAAAATGATAACATTTCTAAAATAAATAATTATTTTTAACGGTAGAAATTATTTCGGTATAACTTGAAGAATTCAAAGTACCAGCGTACCATTAAAAAAAAAAAGGTTAAAAAGTACGTTTTTTAAACACGGTCAGAAGTAGAGGGACCTATTATAGATTCCTTACTTAAAGGTTGACTTTTTTTTACTTATCAGTTAAAACACAACAATCCATGCATTTAAAATCGTTTTAATGTCACCATTTAAATGTAATAATTATAGCCAATATTCTCACCCGATGACAACTCGGCCCCGTAAATCAAACTGGTACAGTTGGCCACTTTGATGGAATGGAGCAGCGACACCATCCTCTGGTTGTAGTTAATCAACGCGCTTACGATGCCCACTTTGGACATGCCCAACCAAATGGCAACAAACTCGGGTCGGTTTTCCATCAGCAATCCGACCACATCGCCCTTCTTGAAACCTTTCTCCAACATAGCATTTGCCACTTTGTTACTGTATTCTTCAACCTGTTCCAATACGTTTCATTTATTTTAATACGAGATCAATACATGCACAATTGCACGCAGCATTTGTTAAAATTATGGTCTCAATTAAAAATGCTGTGCAGGCAGCAGAATTAGTCCGTAGAACAAAATAAGACATTTAAAAAACTGTGCTAATAGACTCAGTATAATGAAATTGTATAGTAAAACAACTCCAAACAATATTCTGCTATAGAATATTAAATTTAAACAGATTGTATATGTTGTTATTCAAAAATGTAAAGAACGTTTAAAAAAAATATTAGGATAAAAATATTTGTTTAGAAACGACTTGAAATCGTGTAAAAGAACATTTTAAAAAACGTTAAACTTTTTGGAATAATGAATGTTTTACATTAAATGGATCACCCAGTATAGAGATATTAGGTACCTGTTATCATAATCAAAAACAAGCAAATTTTGGAACACATTTTACGACCATACATTTATCAATTTTAATTTTTAATATTCAACTTTTCAAAAGAATTGTGGAAAAAATGTAACTACATAAATCATTATGTGATTAAAAAGAACAAAAATAAAGGAAATAAAAAGTATTAAGTATTAATTAAGTAACGAAATATATTTGTTGATACGTGTAACTGTAGCCTATCTATATACTGACCACAATGGCTTGTAAAACAATACATTTATTTGTATTGAAAAGAGATAATGTTTATCTTTTTTTTCCAGACCACTTTCCATTTATTTATTTGAAATTATTCATCTGTTGAAAAAAACCTAATACCTTTGATGAATCATGGGTATAATTAAATTTAGATAATAAGATAACATGTTTTACCAAATCGGTTTAACTAGATCCTGTTAAAGCTCCAAAGAGACAAATACGGGTTTGAAATATCTGATAACCATGAAAAATATAACCAAGGTTCAGTGCTATAACGTTAAATATTTAAACTGGTTTTTACTCCTCGGCAATAGCCTTTAAATCGTTATTACCTATTTTATTTGTTATTTAAATGACATAATATGAGTAATACATTTTTGATATTTAAGAGCATTAATTTTAAAAGTTACACCATAAACAAGTTTTGTATTTATAATTTAATTTACAGCCTATGATACAAGTAAATAAACATCAAACACGTCATTAAATTTGTTTAACAATTTAACTTTTAAGGACATTCAATTTTAAAATTCAAACAACATTCTTTTGTCAATCTATAACTACCAACCAGTTATTAGTTGATTTTCAAAACAGTCAAATGCCTACATTTATACAACAATCATTAATTATCAATTATTATCAATCGGCATGTTACTATTAGGATAATATAAGTGATATTAGTAGTTTGTAAGCTATAAAGGTTTAATTACATATTAGGTATTATAGTGCACTTAAATGAACACTACCTATCTATGATGAACATGTAGGCAGGTACAATCTCTATATTATAGACATATAAGTTCGATAAATGTGTATGCTACAGTAGAAATAGTACTTATTTTCATAATAATTAGCGATGATAATAATAATAAATTATTAGAGATATATTTAATACTATATTAGAAGTCTGACAATTTTCTGACTTTATCTATTATACATATGTTTAGGCATTAAAAAAAGGAAATAACATTTTTTTGAACTTTTATTTAATTTTAAGTTATTTTAGTTATCAGTAATTTAAATAAGAGTATTAATTAAAAAAATGAAGTCAATTATTAACTTTGAAATCATAAATAATACGGTTGTTAACACCTTAAGCTATAGCACTATTTTTATACCGATATAAAAATGCAAAATAGTATACAACCTTGATTTTAATAAATTAATAACTTGACCCATGGGCGCCTAGTTTTTTAGTTCCATGGGATGGTTAGGTTTCGAGTAACACAAAACTCGGTGCCCATGACTTGGCTAACACATTTAGTGTGATAATTCAAAAATAAAACATACCCTGTTATTTATTAAAACCTGAGCAGGATACAAGTTGTAACTTGTTTACAACTGCATACTAAGTTCAAGTGATGTAATAAAGTTAGACTTTTATAATACGTTTTTCATAAGATTAATGATGAAATTATTGAATGTAAGGAATCGCGAATTATCGTAGATAAAACAAATTTATAGGAGTTAAACACGAATCTGCCCATTCTTTTGTACTCAGTTCTTTCATCTTTTAATTTGACCGCCATCCAGAGCGATAAACTACAAAGTATTAGAATCACTTTGAACTATAAATAAGACCTTATATTGTTCAAGAATTGTATTTAATGGAGAATTTAAAGTTTTTCATTTCACAAAGATAACTGCTTAAGATAATCTTTTATTTAATAATATATTATATTTCTTCATTATGCCGTTGAGTGTGGTACAAGAAAAAAGATGGTATGGAATATAAAAAAATCTCAAAATTAAAAAAATAAATGTATTTATCTATATTGGCACATTAAAAGTGGTTGGTAGATTCGTGAGAGAAGTGTAAATCATTTATTAAGCCCTTATGGCCTTATACATCAATGAGCGTTGTTTTTTGAATGGGCAATATAACATTTATATTAATTATTTTGAAAGAAAACCAAATCAAACGGACAAAATCCCTTGGGTATGATCAATTAAATTCATGAAAAATATAACATAAAACGCTTCTTATTATTTTATTTTCAAAATCTGCGGGACAATAATAGGAACTCTCATACTTTTGCAAAGTATAATATATGCAACTAGAGTAATTTTCATCTTTATATTGTGTCTTGCGTGTTTTATAAAAGTGGAATTAATTAAAATTGTTTGTGATGTTATTGTTGGAACAACGCACAACTATAATAAATTAAATTAAAATATTCAATAAATTACAAGATAAATTGTTATGTTTTTAGTGTGTAAGCTGAGTACCTAAACCTTTTTAAAAATTTAATATTATGTGCTCGACAAGTGTTTTATTCGACGATAGCGTAGTCGTAGTCCTCTTGAAATTTATCGAAGATGTAACTTCTTGAGGAGTTAAAAAAAATTGTAGTCACCTTTCGGGCTCGTACGATACCTATACGGTTATATATTATGGAAGGCGACATTTCACACAAACCTGCAGCGCAGTCCATTCTTTGTCTTCGAACACAAATAACACTTTGTGAGGGGTATTCTTCACAACCATGTGTTTGAATACATCTGCGACGGTCCAGTTGTTTTTACCCAATTTCTTCGCCGTGTACAAAAAGTATAAATAACGAAATAGCGCTCTGAAAAAAACAAAACATATAAAACTATATTAACGTTATTACTAAAATGTATCGTTCAATCACAGTGCCAAAAAATGGTATTTCGTTTTATAGGGAAACGACCATTCATTTTATTACTAAAGACAAATCGTTAGACATGATTGAAATATTATTAGACGCGTTTCTGTATAATATTTATCTCGCTTTTAAAGTGAATAATGTTTTTGAAATTGCGTGACCAAAACCATACAAGATCGAAGAATACCGTAAACAGGAATTATTATTATTTTTTTTTTTTTGTAAGGGAGCACTCATTTTATCATTAATTATTTTTAAAATGATACAATTCACACGCTTAAGTATTAAAAATTCGTTTTTGAATATAAAATAATAATCCAAATTGGTTTATTAATGAAAAAAAACAACTAGATATAAATAACGAAAATAATAATTAAATTAAATACCTAAATCAAGATGAGGATAATAATTAATAATCAAGTTAAATATTGAAATCTTAACTCCTTTATTTTTGAATGCAAATGATTCATTCATTTTTTAATATTGATTTCAATGTACATATGAGTACGTACCTACCTATCTAATACCTATACATCTAAAAAGTACCAAACAATTTAATTGATTTTCACCAATAGAATTTTTGAAGTATATTTTAAGTATATTATATATTTTAAGATGTTTTAATACGTCTCAGAATTTAGATTCTAAAGTACATTTTTGATAGTGTTTTAACATTAGGGTAGATATATCCAGGGCAACATATTTATCCATCCTGAAGGTGCAGTTGGAGCTGTTTTTTTCGTATTTCATTTCATTTTCTAAAGCTCGAATTCTTCTTTTAATATGGGTGTAACATGAAATTGCATTCTTTATTAAAATAATTTAAAAACCAATTGATATAAGAACCGAACGGTGTTGAATTTGAGCCAAAATGTGATTTATCAACATACCCAGACGTTACGAAAACATATTCTGTATAAGCAGTACTAACATATACGATAAGAACTTCAAGTAGGTGTACTGTAGAGTGTAGACTGTAGAGTATCAATAAGTACCGGAAGAGTTTTATTATGTACTACATATTACATTACTGTTTTTTTTATCTTATTGATTTTATACCGTGGATGTTTTTTATTGTGTTTATGTTTTAAAGAAGGACAATAATTTATTATGTTTGAACCGAACAGTTTAACATTTCCTTCAGATGAACTTCAAAATTTGAAAAAAAATTACTAAGTGCGTAATCACATGTTATATTATCATACAGGTTTATTAAAAATGATACTGTTATGATCTGTTGCTTGGCACTTGACCTCCTTATATTTCCTGATCCCACACCACGCGACTACTCCTTTTGGGGTTAGGTTTGTTAAAGATAAAGTACCCCTACGTAATATGCCATTACTAAAAACATCGGCAGAGTCAATTACAATAGATACGATAGAGCATGTAGAGGACGAATTATTTAACTATTTATCATGAGGTGTTGTTTCGTGTTCGTGTTACCAACGAAAATCACATAGAATTTATAAATATAAGAATAGGTACGTACTTCACACTACATTTTAAATATTATTTTTATCCAAACCAAAAACTCAAAGTACATAACCATTTAAAACTAGATGAATCATTTTGAATAATCCTGAATATACTACGCAAAGGTACAAGTTAAATGAATTTATCAAATTATAAATCATAAATTTGGCTTATACAGACTATGTTTAGTGAAAACTTTCTTAAGCACAACATAATTAATAATTATAGTTTTAAACTCCATGAATACCATTTATAATATGCACCATAAGAGCAACGATCGATTTTTTTATTGTAACTTCAAGTCGTGGCCCGTGGGTATCTATATAAAATAGTATTACTTTTTGTGAAACTAAACGCTTGGTTGGCAAAATACAAGTGGTCTTTTCGCAAGTGTAGATGTTGCACAGATCGTTTCGCGTTGCTGATTATAACTTTTTAACTTTATTTATTATTCTGTATATAGTGTTAACCGTTAAATTAAGAGTTAAACATAACTTGAAGTACAAGAATGTCTCTGCCTGCGAAGGTAGCAATTTTACATCAAATTTTACTTTATAATAATTAATATTTATACTTGATTGTAAACAATTTATCATTGTTTTACTGTGCACTACTGCATAAATATTTTAGAATTATTATTTTCAAAACAAACTTGTTCTGCATGTACCTAGCGCTTGATTAATTTTAATAATGACTTAAATGAATATGCTATCATATCAATTCAAAAATGTATTAAAACATCCCGATCAGATAAAGCTGATAAAATAGAAAATAATACTTAGCATTTTAAAATAATCAAAGCATCTATCAAATTCTAAAACTGCAATTTAATTTAAAAAACAATAAACTTAGAGCAAGCGATTGGGTTTCAACATTTGGGATATGTCTTACTCAATTCTAAGATATGTTTTCAATAATAACGACTAACGAGTGAATAAATAAACAGAAACAAATTAAAATAATTATAAATTGATAAGTGAAAAAATGAGTACGTAATACGTATATCTTTTTGTCTTAATAACTATTTTATTGTTTTAAATAATCGGTTATAAATAACTTTATTTTAACCTGAAATGATTTTAGGCATAAAATAAAATAAAACATACTTAAGTCGAAGATATAATTGATTTATTAAGACATAGAAAAACGAATAACTGATTTAAATGGTTAGTCCCGATGTTTTTAAAATAGGTAAGCAAATGAGATATGAATACCTAGTACGAGAATTTAATTGGCTGGAAAAACATAAGTATCACGTACAAGATAAGTCTTTTGGAGTTATATGAAGTTATATGAACAATTCACTTGGAATACAAACTAGTATATAAATGCGATTGGAGGATTAGTTAAAGGTAAGTTCCAAGCATTGACGGACGATGGTCGATGGGTTATTAGATTTTTTCTATCAAGAAACTATATGTATTATAAGCGATAAGATGTGTAGTAAATAATAAGTAAAAATTATTAAATTTACAGCTTAACGATGTAACTAAAAGTTTATGGTATTGACTACTGTATGTAATTGAAGACAACATTTGTATCTATACAAGAAATCATAATATTCATTTCTAGAAATTTTTCTAAATTACCTTTTTAGTACTATATATGTAATAACTGTATAATTTTTTTTTTTTATTAAAATATAAAATATAAAATTTACAATCTGTATATAAAAAAAATACAATAAGTAAATATGAAAACAAAATATGACGGACAATAAGACTGCGAGTAGGGAAGCTATCCAGTGATAGGACCCATAAACTGTATAATTTTTAAAAAATTTATATGAATATACAATTTCATACATTTGAATTTGAATTTAATATTTTGATAATTTTTGCTTGTAAATTCTGACGATAAATCACCTACCATTAATCCAATATTGGGATATTAAAGTCAATTTTTTGCTATGAAATTTTACGCCTTTTTAGTTAAATACGAATAATCTATGAATAAAAATTATAGACATTTCCAATATGCGTCATAACAATAGGACTACATTTTCGGAACATAATTTCTGGACGACCATATTAGGAGGTAATAATAATACAAATGTTGAACATATGTATAACAAATTAACATAATACATACACTTTGTTCACCAATGCGGATATATATACAGAAACGGCAATGTAGTAAACAATGTTTGCAAATAAAATCAATAGAACGCAAGGGATGCGGCGACACTCGTGATTAATATTTATAAAGGGTCCACCTACTATTTTTATGAACAAATTACGATGTGGATCGACGAACATGGCTCATTGAAATGCAATTATTATTGAACGTCAGCCGTAGTATTAAGAATATTACACGCTCAAATTGTGTAAATATTAAATAACGTCACGGTCGAATTAATCTAATAGTGGTTAAAAAGTTTTATAGAAAATCGAGTAAAAGCTATACATACAATTCAGTAATTTATTAAAAAGTTCTATTGGTCAAAATAATGTGATGATATGTATGTATATACTAAATATGTACAATGAACAGAGTACAAATAGTGAGCACAACAATATTATTATTCAAATGAGAATTTCGAGTTAATTTTTTCGGACGTTGGTTCGACTGATTTCATTCGTACACAAGCATAAATATGACAGTAATTTATCGTATAGCAGTTCTTAAATTATGCGTAATGCACATTATATGTTAATAATACTCATTAAAATTTGCTCGTTTTATGTAAAAAAATTAGCGATTGTGATTTCACGCATGTACAGACGATTTTTAGTTATGGTACACACTATTTCTAATATTCCGATTGAACGTTCCCGAATTATATAATGATATTGATTTCAATGAATTACTGCAGTTAAAATTTAGTCGATTCTGAAATAAAAAAATATTTACTGAACGGCAATGGTGTTTCAAAAAAAAGAAACAAATCGAACCGAGTTTATAAAACTATGTTTGCTATATATATGTATGCCTATATATACGTATATTATTATTACTATATCGGTGACCGACTTATGATTATCTCGTAATACTAGATAAACCAGTTTCAATGTTAAACGTGTCTTTATAGTCGTCCAGCAGGAAAACTAGCACATCAGGAAATCCAACTAAGGTCGATCAAAATCACGGTAAATGCGTTTCGTTATTATATTATACAGTAGGTAGGTATCACAGCCGCACACAATATACGTTTCGAGTTCGTAATAATTTATCATTCATGTTTAATGTAGGATGTATCATTCGACAAATCTCGCATTGAGAAAATTCCTATAGCTCAAACGTTTTAAATTGAAAATATTACTTCAATATTATAATACGCTTTTATTGCGTTTAACATAAATGCATTTCTATCCCTATGGCTTTGCGGGTCAACGGACTATTATTCGTCGCTTTTCATGTATTTTCGAAAATAACTGTTGTATAATTTTATTGTCATTCTACTTTTTTGCCGACAAATTATTTCAGCTAACTTGATTTTTACTCTACTATTTGAATTTTGAATGGTTAGTAAGTTTCATTGGATAGTTTGTTCGACGTAGACGATTTTGTTAAAGGTGTAGATGTTATGAACGATGACGCGTAATCAATCAAAAACGATTTTGCAATCAAAGTTGATTTTATAACGTGAACAAAATAATAACAGCAGCGTAAAAACGTATCACGTTTATTGCATTCGACATAATATGATATAAAACAAAATATATAGGTTGGTTGATTTTTACATTATTATCACTCGCTGCTGTAGTAAAAACACACCAGTATACGTCAAGCAAGTGTATTTAATTGTATTATAATCAATATGACTTTTAATTACTTATGCTTCAGCTTAAAGTCTAAAAGTATTATGTAGTAGTTTAAACAAACAAGACGATTATTATTCGTATATAAATAATCGTCTTGATTTTTGTACATTTTGAGTTGGTAAATGCGCAATAAAAAATAATATAATATTTTACAAACAACTTGAAAAGACAAAGTTAAAAATAAATATATGCTCTTGAATATGTGTTATATTTATATAATTAACTTAGTACTTACGTATGGTATACATCTGCGAAATAGTTTTCGGCCGACAACCGGTATTATATTATTTCAAGTGAAAACGAGACAACCTTATAATCAACAACCGTCGAGTTGTTGTAGAACTCGTTAGATTTGTTTGAAATCCAACGTGTATTTGTACATGGCCATAAGCATACAGTGTATCATGTACAATCCTCCAACGCATGTAAAGGTGTATTCGTTTTTATGGAAGTATAAAATCAATTAAACTCTAGGACGAATATATGACATAAACGTAAGAGTAGAAACTTGGAACCGTGCAACCCACAAGAGAAAATATTATAACTATATTTAATAACTATACATATACTAAATATTGTGTATAAATATGTTCACTGTAAAAATATCCAACTCGAATCATTCATACCAATATGGGTACTTACACGAAGCTTGAACGTATCAGTGGATCGGTACCATGCACAGTGTAATCCGTTCATAGGTAATTGAATTGCGACTAGACTAAATATAATATCAGTATAAGCACTGCGCTCTATATCATATTATACATATTGACGAACTAACTAGCTAAGTGAGTTACTATTTGCAAAAATAAGAAAACGTAATAGGATTATTTTGAAAAACTATATTATATTGATTTTTGAATATTATTAGAATTCCATAATAGTGTATTTACTCCATGGCGGCGGTAAACCGATAGGAAATGTGCATTCAATGAAAAAAAAGGCGAGGACTTGATCAGTCTGCTGATAGAAAAATAAGACTGACATCGCTAGCGTACATTATGAAAAATTCAAAACATAACTTATAATAGTTAGTAGGTACTCAATGATAGATTTCTTTTTTTAAAATACGTTTATGAAGTACTTATGTTTAAGTAACAAGAATGTCATATTATTATATCATCTATTATATAATCTACCTGTAGTCGTAATGAGACATGATGGCTTGAAAATCCATGCTTAATAAAATATAGCTCATTAGACTGCCCAAACTGAATATTTTAATCATCGATGACATACTAAAAATCGTATATTGCATGCGCATCAATCGGAACACACCAAAACACTACTAACAAGGAAAAATTTCCAAATATTTGTACGAATATTTGTGGATTCCGATTGAGAAATAGGGGTCAGAATATGAGCGACATCTAAACTATACGCTTCTTACAAGTACTTGTAGTATATAGTTAGTATTTATAATCAATGGTCATTAGACAGGTATTCGCTATTAAGAAATTAATTAATTAATTATTTACGTACACATGTAAATAGAAATATAATTGTCGGTGATTATAGTCGTGATAGTAGGAAAGTCGGTTATTATTGCAATAGCTGCAGTATTATTCGATAGAATATTATACATTTATGCTACGTAGTATATTATCCAGTGTTATGAGTCTGAAATATGATATTTTCATTTTGAAATATTTCAATAAAATATTTCAAAATATATTTTTATAACTTTGTGTTTTTTAGTAGTTTCATAAAATCTTCACATTTAGAGTAGATATGATATATAACATAGATAATTATTATGTAATTTATGTAATTTACGAATGATATAAGCAATATTTCTATAACATTTTCTACTTAACATTAAAACTAAGTAAAGAAGTTTACTGTGATTCCTTTTTGTTTAATTTTTCATTAAAATGAAATATTTCATATGGGTTTCATAAAATATTTGAAGAAACTAAGCTTCATGCGATTTTAGAACCTTATAATATTATCAGAGGAGGGCTCTGGGTTCGGACCCTCCCCTTAAAGAGTGCGTCAAATGTCGAATCAATCAAAAACCAATATTTATATTTTTTAAATAATTTTTTTTATCCGTGGGATTAGTATACGTGATCGGTCATTTACACAAAGCAAGTATTTATCTGATTTTTGATCCTGTAATTGGTTATTCTACCATAATATATTAGGTATGTAAAAACTATTTTTTTCTATACATTACGACAAAACAATGTAAATAAATAATAATATGAAATTATTAATTATTACGCTGCGTTATCGACGGACTTCCTGTGCACGAATGCGTTGGATTTATTTGGTCTGAATAATAACATTTTAGGAAAACGATTTGTCTCGAAAACACGACCGTAGTCGTCAGGAATGCATTAAAATGACACACGTCCCGCGGCGATATACGACGCCGGTCTCCGACGATAATAAATAATAATAATAAATCTAATCGCCTCGAATGCGCGCCATAATTATTATTATAATCATAATAACAATCTATTCGCAGCAGCGTTTTTGGTCGCAATAATATTATTGTTCTGCGTGCCCATTATTATTATAACACATTGTGATGTTGTGTGTATACATTTATTACAGTGCGTTTATTTAATATCATAAAAATAGGCGTACTTGGGTAGAGGCTTCTGAATATCATTTGAAGCCGACTCAACATTTTTTGGTTAAACGCGTCTACACACATAATATTTATTGTTAACTTTATTTTTGCCATCCGTCTTTAAAAAATCTATGACGCGTTGTAAACTAACAGGAAAAAATATTTCAATACAGTTTAACTGCTGTCGTCTGTCCCCATTAAGTATTTTGTTATAAAACCCCATTCCGTATTTTGTTATAAAAATATGCCAGTACTCCCATTAATTTCCTCCACACCCATAGAAATTAAAAGCGTATAGCGTTACGCCTAGCGTAATTAATAATAATTATTAATTATCAATAATGACATCGTCGAAGTCCCTGGGCATGGTGCGATACACCTGCAGGTAGACGAGCTTATAGCAATTTTAGACATCATTCAATTTTAAAGATACATTTTAATTACACGTTGTACACTGGAAAAATATATTTTAATGGTGTAACTAAAACCCTGCCCCCCCCCCAAAAAAAAATAATACCGCGTTTTGCCGTCAAAAGACGTCTGCAGGACTCGGCCGGGCCCTTTCTCTCCCGCTCCGCGCCGCGTTAAATTGGCCTGCTGCGGAGTTACGCCTACACGGTCGGTGCTCAGTAATAATTGTTAATATAATAACAATAATTTATGACACGATTAATGACAAACGTGGGGATTACCAAAGAAACAACTGACCTGAGGTCCCTGGGCGCGGTGCGGTACACCAGGTAGACGAATTTGTAACCACCGCTGGCGACAAACGCGATGGTCGCGACCACGACGACTTGCAACAGGAACGGCAGGCCCATAGTGTACCATACGAACGCGCACGTCACAGTGAACGCCGCTGCGGCGACGATGACTTTTACCGCGGCGCACACCGCTCCGCGTGCTCTGCCGCCGCCGCCTCCGCCACCACCGGTACTTTTACTGTCGCCGCCGCCGCAGCCGCCGCCGCCGTCGAGTCGCTGATGCCGCTTGCCGTGAACGCCGTCGACCACCTCCGTGCCCGCGTTGTCGCAACAATTGTCGGCGTTTCGGGCGTTCGGGTTACCGCCGCTGCTACGGTCGTCGTCGTCGTCGTCGTCGTCGCCGCCGCCGCTCAGATCAGTGGCGACTCCTCTCGGCAAACCTTTTTCCACGTCCCACTCCTGTTTCACACACGATAACGATAATAATATCACATATTTTACGTAACGTATAAGGTGTGAGGTTTTTGGTTATTACTATTTTGGTGTTATCACCAAATACCAAACAGTTATTTAATCGGTCAACGTAAATTATAGTAAGTGTACGTATCGTGTAAAATTTCTGTTTTCATTTTTTTTTTTTTTTTTTTGAAACGACACGTTCTTAATTTCATAGTATTTTAATATTCCAAAACAGACATTTCAAATGTCGTGGAAATATGCTACGAAAAAGTGACTGAATGATATGTAGTGCAATATATAGTTTATACTTCATATACCTACTTCGTACACTTTAACTTTTTATATATTTCCGTTAATAACATAACACTCTAATAATTCAATTTAAAATAAACTTTTCGTAGATGCAAATATAAAATTATAAAATCCACTAATAATAACAACAACAATGTCAAATGGTTTTTCTCCGGTGAAATAGATTTTTCGTAGGAGCAGGGATGTCGACACACAACCTTTATTTTGTTTTCTCTCTTTTACCACGTGTGACATAGGAAGCAAATTTGCGTTCAGCAGAATCAATCATGTGTTATCAGCATTAATATTTGAGTAAATTGACCTATTATCAATGTTAATTTGACAAACAACGTTTTCTGTACATGTACATATACTGACTTTTTTAAAACTTATCAATTTTAAAGCGAAGTGAAAATTTTTTTAAATTATTACATTTTACTAATTACATCATAACTTGCATAAAAATTGAAATATCGTAAAAAATCAACATACATACACAGATGTAATGTTCTTAACTTTAAGTTTGATAGGAAGTCAATGTACTCTAATATTAAATATAACATCACAAAATTGGTTCTACTGAACAATAATATGACACGTTGCAGTCAGAGAGAAAACAAATAGCATTCGGGCATCCTTTTAAATCGAATTCGTTGATTTATTTCAAGTTAAAAATGCATATTATAATATGCCATACTACCTAATGCTCCAAATATGCTAAATAAAATGTTGTGTTTGATTTCGTATGATTTATGAAACGTCGATATTTCTAATCACGTGCATGTTGTACACTATAAACCAACATACGAATACATATAATTCCTACTATTATAATTTATATTCAGATAGGAGAGGTAGAGATAGAGTACTCGGCAACATTTTGGTGCGCTACTCAATCCACTTTACTAATTACATATTATTGTAAATTATTACAATGATAACTATTCATTATACATGGATCTCATAATAGGTATAGAGTATATTATAATATATAGTACCTATAGGCTATAACATAATATAATTGAGATGAAAATATATATAAATCTTAAAATATCACCTATTGGTGATTGTTTAAAGGTGGAGGTTTTAGGTCAAGGAATTCGCTGTTATTTCATGAAGATTTGAGAACAGTTAAAAATCATAATATTGTAGTATGGGTGCCGTGAATAGATATGAATAGTATAATATGATATAACGAAATTCAAAATTGTAAGTGCCAGTAACATGATGAATTCAGTAACTATTTGATAATTCAAGTATATTATAATTTATAATGGATACACTCAAAACCATAAGTTACATAAAACGTAAAAATTAGTAATTATATAAAATTATAATATCCTCATAAATTGATCAATTTTAACAAAATTATTATTTTAAACGTTCAAAAAAAGAAGGAAAAGATATTTGAGATATTTATAATATAGTGCAGATAGATTATAGTTGTTATGTAAATTATAGTTTATATACTTAGTTAAATTAACATCGTATACAATTACTAATTCTATTTATTTTTGGATAAAACAGCGATAGTTTGTGTGGTATTATGATTTATTTATACCAGATTCATCAATCATTTAAGTTTATATGTATTAGCCAATAAGAAAACATTTTTAAAAATTATATACAACTGTGAGCAGTTTTTTTTTAAATCCACAATGTTACAACGTCCGATATCTTTGTGCTGTAATATAAATCTATCACTTAATGTTTAAAGTCTTGAATTCAGAAGTAATAAGTAATAACTATATGATTATGTGTGCAACGTTAATTGCCAGTTGAAATAAATATGTAATGTAAAATTGTGGTCAATAACATGCAAAAAAAAACCAATTTTAGAGTATTAAAGGAAAATAAAAAATATATTTTTATTTTATTTTATACAATATATTATTGGTTAGTTATAATTATGCATACATAGGTTACGTCAAAATATTTTTTGTGTAGGAATACTATAAAAGTTTCGCGAAGCAATTTTTTAGATCGAAAATGTTTTAAAGTTGTTTTTTAAGTGATCTAAGTTTTCCAAACAGGGCAAAGTTTTCCTAAATGGCTTATGTCGAGAAAAAAAATGTTGAGATTTAATGTAGGTACAACAGTTTTAAAAAAAATCGAATTTATATATTTTGTTGTAATATTATATACCTTGAATACAACTATTCCTAGAGGAACAACTTATGAAGAACCTTGCATTACAACTTCAAGTTTTATGACCGAGAAATACAATATTTAACATTTTAATGTACATAAAATAATAATTTAAGTAATAGTGGAAAGTTTCTAATATATTTTTTTAAATTAGATGCAAGTATACAATTTACTAATAATAACAATTAAAATGTTTTTTCTAAAGATTGAATATCCAATTTTGTCAAAATGTGTAATTACCTATACTTCAAATTATCAAAAAAAAACAAACACATATATATGACATAAATACTCAAAACTTTTTTTTAATTTCTGTAAAAAAGAAGAACAGCTTATGAGGAACCTTACTTACATTTTCCAGCCTTGCGTACAAAAATCAATATATTTTATAGACACTCATAAGTACAAAATAATTTGCAATTTTTTTCAAAATTTGAACTTCGAACTTGTTGAAATAAATCATGAAATATAGATATTTTTCAATTTCTAGAAGAATATCTTAGAACTTATGAAGAACCATGTTCTGAGCTTTTATGATTAAAAAAACTAGGTTTACCAACACAAATCCAAAATATACTTAAAAAAGTAGAACATTTAAAAATATCTATATATACCACTAAAAGAGCCAAAATACATAGGGAAATTCCTAATGGGAATTATATCATGCCTAGAAAATGTTGACATAAATATTTAGGGAATATTTCAAGGTTAATTTTTACGGATATTAATTTTAGTATTGCAATAAGAAAACACAAAACCGATTTGGTCAAAAACTGCACCTTTTTATTTTTCTCAATTATTTTGAGTGCATTGGGAATTTTCTACTTTTTACTGATTCTAAATGTTTCGTAGGCATTCACATAATTGTAAATCCAGACATACATCGTCAAGCCCAGAATCTAACACAAAATGATCTGTATCATTAATATCTAATTGTTTTTAATTTTTATAAAAACTTTCAAAAAATGTAAATTATACTGTCCAAACCCTAGCCAGTTAATCACTGCTACAAGTATACGATTTGAAAATTTGTTTACTTGCAATTTGAGTTTGTACAGGCAACTATATTGTAAACTGACCTTCGCTCAAAACTTGATGATTTATTATTGTTTCAAAATGGAGATATAATAGTTACAGGTAATACAACAGCATCAAGGTGATGTATGAATAGAATGAGTACCTAACGTCCGCAGCCATGAATAGTATTGTAAAACTATAGTTATAATAACGCGTATGAATATATTTCATTATTCAATTTTTAGATCTTAAAAATTGAATTACCAATTATAGACTAAATCTGATGAAAAAAACGTTTTAAAAATATTTAAACCAAAAACATATTTTTTGACCTGCAAATAATTAGTAAAAACGTCAAATCTCTAAAACAGAATAATATTCGTTTTAATAATTATTCAATTACGCAGCCAATTCTAAAAATATACTTCAACAGTAAACGTATCATAAAGATGATACATAAAGTGTTTTAAAAATTATGTAGCATATTATTATACGAGTGTTGAATGCAGCCCGTACATTATTCAGATCATATAAGTAACGAAAAAATGAGAACAATATGAAACGTTTAAATTAATGAAAAAACATTAGTACGTTGTAGAGTAATTGATAATAATTAATAGTACCAACAATTTATGACGAGAGTGCACCACATGTTCCTATATATACCTACCCTGCATATTGTACTTAATTTCTTAGTTGAATGTCGTGTCAAGTACCTATCACGACCAGCGTCTTTACAATAATATTAAAATATCGATAGTGGGTACATAATCGTTACAAATTTATAATAATATGCGTTGGCGCAGAGAAACATAATAATATTTATGAATTTAATAATACATTTTTAGGCGCACGCACACGCAAACATACACTCCAGAATGAATGTAGTTCGGGCAGGTGTGATGTTATGCGCGGCGCCAATATAATAATAATATCACCGTCATTCTTTCGTCGTCGCTTCTTTGGTTAATTAAGGTAACTACCTAGGTATCACATAAATCATCCCCGCTGCCACCAATCGACCACTGTTAACTTGATAGTGGACTCGAATGATATTCTCAGTCCAAATTGGGTGGAAACTAAAAAGCCTTCACTCGCCCACCACCGCCACCACAGCAAATACCCGAGTAATCCACGAAATACGTCGCATCAAATTGCTGAAATAATCCATTCGACAATGGGGTCATCCAACACCGGATGTAAGATATTACGTATAATTAGTCGACTTCGCCGATAAAGTGAATGACGGCAAACATCATCGATCTGACAAAACAGCCGCCGTGCACGGTTGTGACTGTATGTATTATAATATTATAATATTATAAACCAAAAATATGTTTTCCGGAAACTGCGTTAGTCTTGTAATTTGTTATGTGGAACTTAAGTGAGGATATCCAGAAATAAAATAAAATAAAATCTAGGAAGATTAAAATGTACCTAATGGCTAATTGGTAACCCGAGCTATTTATGAAGTTGATTATTTTTTTTCAATTACAATACACATTTATTACATTAAATCATATTCGTCGGTATTGTTTTTAGAA